GATACGGCAGTAGTGACGACGTCACATTCACATCAAGCTAAATACTGCGTTTCTGCGGCACCTTATGTGATTGTCATAGATTCCATTTTGCAACAAATGTGATTTGCTGTCGGTCGACTGTAATAAAGCTTAACTTACTAAGATGTCTCTTTATTATTTTGAAAGTAATGAAATCAAAATTGAAACATTCTTGGAACTTTTTCTTCTTTTACATTAATCAAGCCAAAAATGAAGCCGAATTGTTTAATTTTATTAATTAAACTTCAAAGATAAGATGCACGTCTACTGATTGCTAACATTTTTATTGAAACATGAGATCAACATCTCTGATTTATGTAAGAATTTCTTTAACGTCTTCAGGTTTGGCCTTTCACGAGCTCTTATGCAAATCTAAATATACTGCTTCGTGTACAAAGCTTATTTAATTTTTAAACTTTAATAATACTCCGAATTTAAAGCCATGGGTCTTGTTAACTTTTCGCAATACCAGTAAGTCAAACAAAGTTCCTAAGTTCACAATGGACGTGAGGGTTTTGCCCATAACTTGACTTCCAACTGCAATTAGTCCATGTTGAATAGATTTTAATCGTACCCACAGTCTGTTCGAGTTGCCCCTTCTAATAAAGCACTTTGAACTTCCTGGAGAACTACCGCATGTGACAGTTTCTACAGTAGGTTAGGTATCCACAGTAATTTGAATTTGTAATCCTCTTCACAGCATATCAAAAGGTATTTAAAACTTCCATTGTCTTCACCTTTCTCATCGGCTTCTAATTAGTTTTTCGTTTTTTCTATCTCTCATCGCAATTAACACTTTGTTGACAGATAAGTACAATATTAGCTCCTACCGTTACATTTTTAACATGTTTACAGTATCTCAGTTCTCATTTCCTTAGAATAAATAGGTATTTATTTCGTACTAACCCAAATTTTTTACGCCCGTATTCACAAACATTACTATGAGGTCTCACAGTGCGCGTGGACGCACAGGGTGAAACACGAACCAATCGCAGAGCTCTATTCAACGCTGTGCGTTTGATTTGCTGCTTCACTTAAGCAAGCATCGTTTGTGAATACGGTCGTTATAAAATGATTTTGTGAGAAATTTGAATTCACATGGGCAACTTTAAACCGCCAGGAATCGCTTTACAAAGTAACGACAATTATTCAAAAAGCGTACGCCTCTAAAACGTCCGCTCTAAAACCAAAACAATTTCCGCCATTAATCTCTTAGACCGTTGCCTCTGCATATTGATACGGTTTTGTTGTCATGCCACATTAAACATACATATTTTTAAACCGTTCTACGTACGGTCTATCGACTCTATGATCCGCTTCCTCTGTAGTCGTACTCCCGTGATATACCATTTAATTAATACCTGTTAAAACTGCCGTCGTAACATTTCAATTATGATTGTTTTTGGTCCAACACCTCCAGTCGAGTGTGGAGGTTTCATAAAATCAGCCAATTGAGACTGACTGTGGGCGATGCATCGTTCTGTAACGAATTAATCGACTATTTGATAGAACTTGTTAGTTTTTACCTTTGCATTGCACATGACATATTAATATAGTCATTGAGCTATTATTTCTTTCAAGTTTTTATTAAAACCATCATTGCTTTTTATCACGGATGGGAAGATAATATAATTATGCATTCATTAAAAGATTTGCTGGGGCAATTTAATCTGGAATGAAATCCTCAGAAAATGAGCTTCCAAAATGCATATCCACTTGTGCCGACCGAAACGGGAATCGGCCGTTCGTTAATTCCACAGATGCAAATTGCCGTTCAATTAGCATCGCCCTTATCATCCGCACTTGTTTACCGTTTTGTTTTTCAATCGCTTTTAATTTGTTATCTCAGTCTATTTATGTTCAGATTTGTGCACTCTGCAGATTGGAATTTACCTTTTTCGATAGTGGATTTTGGATTATAAATAATTTTACCGCAGCTACGAATATAATTAACCTGAATCTCCTTCTATGTATACTTTCATTTAGCAGTGGATTATCTTCAATATTGCAATTGTACTCATCATCGTGTTGTTGACTAGTAGTTTCAGTTAAATTCTCATCACAATCATTGTCGCAAAAATGAGTTTTTTGCCTCATGAATAAATAGCAACCCACTTCTGTCTGCTCTAATTGCAACTAATGTGAGGCACACCTAATTTACAAGTTTCGTCACGCAAATTTGGCTTTGTGTAGCAGAGTTTTGGCTCTTCGGCGTTGTTGTGGTCTACCGACTCGCTCTGTAAGTTCGCTCGTTACAAATAGAACCGTCTGCGAGTTTGCTGGCATTTTTTTTGTCTATATCTACACTCAAGGAAGACTCCTTACCTAAGTTTCTGAAAGTTTTGCTCAGAATTGCACGTTTGTATGTTGTTGAAGTTTTAGTTAGTTGTTTCTTGATATAAAACATCAAATCGTGGAAATCAGACGAGCTAATTTCGCCTCCCTTTATTAAATAAAGCCTGTAATTTTGGAAGCCTATAGTGTTATAATTTGAAAGCGGCAGCCCAGTGTCAATTTGCCCGTTTTTTATGAACGTAACTGAACCGTAAAAGTATATCTGGATTCATTTATAACGACTACAGAGCGGTTTCAACTTCCTCCCTATAAGTGGATAATGATCTGTTATCTCGTTCTGCCGGTGAAACCGCAATGTTTTTTGAGACGTACGCCTTTCCGTTCTATTTCTAATATGGTGAACTTGGAATTTAAAGGTTTGGAAATGAGCTATAATGGCACAAGATAAACTGGTCTCCTTGAAAGTTATTTAAGTAAGTGCCAGCTTTAATCTTGTACTGCTTAAGTATTCGATTAGAATTCTAACGTGGAGATAGACATGCCCGTTTATGGCAATAAATTGTTTAATGTTCATATACTTTCCAGAAACGTACGTGACACCTAAAGCCTAAAGAAAGTGTCTCACGTGAGTTATATCTTCAGCATTAATGTTCAGATCAGGCCTTCGGATAAGTTTTTATGATCGGCACCGATTTAGCCCCTGAGCCCGCGACGTCTTAACTTAAAGACGTAAGTAAAGAGTATTGGTATGATTTATTCAGAGATTCCGTCGTAAATTTCGTGTGCGATCCGTAGTGCCCCCGGGAACAGATGGCATCCGACTCTTTTTGCTTAAAACGAAATTCTCACGTTTATTTTTCATACTTCCTTCGGTAGAGTTGGGCCGCTATTTTTAAATGCGAGCGCTCTTTTGGAATAGAATTGAACAAAGGCCCAACTTCAGAAGTGTATGCTCTACATCTGCCATTGGTTCATTTTTGTGACAAAATTTCCGCTTGGAAACATAACTCGACGAAGTAATTTCACAGTGAGTTCTTTGGATGGTTTGATTAAATTTTGTAGTCCAGTTAGGTTGACTGACTGTTCTGACAAGTCATAATGAGGCGTTTAGTAGTAACCTTCCAAGTTTATTAAATACTCCTTGATTACTAAAGCTAAGTAAAAAAATAAGTACTCCAGTTAATCAAGTTGGAAGTTATTTGGCACATCAGTAAATTGGAAGCGTAATTATACTTTATATGAGAACCGACCACGATTGTTTCAGCATTCCGAAGGCAATTATCAAACCAAATTAGGTACATGATTCCGTTACCGAAAGTTATTACCATTTAGCATGTTAATTACCGCTTTATTATCAACGAATCTTCGATGCTCGTATCTCGTCATTTTCACGATACATTTGATTAATTATTCTTACATTGTTGTTAGCCCACGCCAAAAGAACGTCGACAATTTGCTTTATTAATGTTAAATTTTTGAAAAAACTAAGTCCAAAGTCCGACAGAAAAACTAAACGGATCCAACATAAAATCCAAATAAGGAATGCTTCGCAGATTTTCAGGCATCTAGGCATGTAATCTGCTTTACTATTGTTCAGCATTGATGAGATGTGTTATCTCGAACTACCTTTTTATTCCATATTATCTAACCCTTATCATAACCGAGGTCACAAGTCAAAACCTTGGTATCTTTATGGGCACCATAGACCTCTGACTGAAGAATTAAAACAAGCTACCGATCAAATCAGAAACAAAACACAACACGCACAAGAAAGTTAAGCTTCTAAACCGCTCTACATGCGAGATGTTACATCTTTTTATATAACCAGCGAATTGGCGTTAACAAATACTGGTGTTTGCCCACATTTCCTAATTGGGTGATTTTCTAAATTGCCCAGTTTTATGGGACCATTGACTCATCCTATAATGGCGCCTGACTGCGGCCAGTATGATAATTATATTAGCGCTACTACTATTTGTCTAACTTTCAAAATATTTGCGGATGATGTGAACTCGACCAAACCAGTTTCGGAGTCGGTTTTGTTTAGAGTTCTCGTTTACGACGTTTCATTCACATGCCAGTTGATCTATGGTGGTGCATAGAGTAAATGGATGAACCATATCAATTGTTTTGATTCCTTCAACCACGCGTTTGAAGTATGCAAAAGTAAATCTGTACGTTATATTACTTTAGAGTTATTTTTGTAGTGTCAACTACCTAGTTATGGTTGGATTCACCATGATGAAGCTAGTATGTGAACAAGCAATTGTATGGCTGTTCTTTACGGTCTGTGGTCTTAGTAAGGGTTCACACCGGAAATGGGACCTGTTTAGCCACATCCTTGTTGCTACAGTATTTGAAGCATTTTTATGGATGAGCAGCTTGAATGGAGCTGGTTGAGAAATGAATTGACAGCAGCCGTGATGTTATGATTGATGTGTCATTAAAACTTTGTAATTACTTGCTACTTTTTTCTAGCATAGTTAAGACTGATTGGTTTTTGTTTATTTAAGCATTGATGTATGATGAAGTACTACATGTGTGGAGCAATAAAGAAAATTAAAGCAATATTTTACGGTCAACTCAAACGAGAAACAAATAAATAAAGCTTTAACAATTTGTGTTAGTCTTATCCACATTTAATGAATCGTTCGAAAGTATCTAATTACCTCCTTTTTTTGTTTCAGGTGCCGTTATGATCCAAAGACAATAAAAACGAGAAGATGCATCTACAAATCTTTTTAACTTTAAGCGCCGTCTTGTTTAGTGAAGCGAAACTGCCAAGATTAAATCGCCACACGCAGCCGAATGAGTTATCGAACCCCACACAGAACTCGCAGGCGCAGCGGCTTGTGCAAATAGAGGCGAAGACGGCAAAAACGAACCGAATAATCGATCAGTATCGAGTGAGGCATCGGCGAGATGTATTCGATTCGAAGTCCTATGAATCGAGTCTGATATGGGCGCATTCGGAGCGGTTAGATGAGAACGGAGACGTGTTACTACGATGGGTGAATTCGGATTCGAGTATAACCTTCAGACTTGAAGCGAGAACCCGTGGTTACGTCGGGTTGGGATTCAACTCGGCAAGAAACATGAGAGGCGCCGATTTGGTAGTCGCCTGGGTTGACGACAGGAATGGCAACGCTCAGGTTCTGGTGAGTATTATCAGCCACATCTGTTGTTTGTGGGAACCCACAGCGATGTTTGGGGTGGCCCCGATCGTCTTTTATTTTTTATCCGATCAAATCTAGAAAAATCGCTGCTTTTTTGTTTTGTTCAATTGCGAACAAATGCTACTTTTTTGTTTCGATTCTCAACGTTTGATTGACGTGATTCTCATTGTACATGAAAGATGTTTTTAGAGACGTATCTTTCATCTTTCAATTAAGACTTCAATCGAAACCATCTAATTGGGCATCAGACAGAAATGAGCATTAGCGTTATTGATAACGTTTTCTTTCTTTCCATTTATATTGTTTCTTTTCGTTCGTGAAATATCTGAAATAGGTATCTAATTGGAACATTGCGATTGAAGTACGTAATAGAAAGATGATTACATACTTGTAGAATTTGATGATATTAGAGCTAGACCAAATATAACCTAAATTAATTTCAAAATTTTCAAAAATTTCTACAACTTACTCATTTCTAAGACAACGCACATATTAAAGGTAACCTTTACCAAAACCATAAAATTAATTCTTTGTACTCGTCAAAATTGTGGTTAATTTAATTACATACCCTAATAACCATACACGTCGCTTCTATGACTTTGATTGAGGTCCTCTTAAAGTTATGAGATTGCAAACTATTTAGCTAAGTAATTTCTGAGATCCAAAGTTTTGATGCAAGAGTAATATTTGGTGATTGAATCTGTATAGTATAATTTTATACTTTTTAATATGGGAAGTGAAAAAGGTATCATGTGATCCTTCAAAAATAATGTTTGTTCTACAGAAAATGTTTCGTGTACCAGAACTAATAGTACAGGGATCAGAGCTAGTAGCTAGTAACTGAACAACGCTGTGGCATCCTATAAAAATTGTAAAAGGTGCCGCTTTGCAACGAAAATGTACTGTCATGTCAACTTGTCCAGTTTCTTCTGCTTCTTTATAAGCTAGTCGTAAATTGTTCTCCATGCGTCGTCACTCGTTACCCATCCGACTTCAGAGCAAACTATTCAGAAATTCAATATTTGCTTTAAATTCTCTTGTAACATCATACACTTTCTTTCTACTTTCAACTGGTAACTAGATCGGATTGTCTACAAGTGTTGTTAGGCATAACAAGACACAATGCTCTGCGGTTTTCGGTGGCAGTCAACGCCCTAATTGCTGGACCATGACGTCTGCTTTAGTTGTCTCCTTTTTTATATCAGGGGTTCCCAACCAGTCATAGTCATAAATCTTTATAGCATCATGTTGGTATACAATTGAATCTTACATAAGCTCTTCATAGCAAGATCAAGCAGATCTTACATAGGCGCAAATCACCGAATTTTAGTTGGCCGATAGTTGGGTCCGACTGTTAATCAGTATAGACAATAGACATGTATGTATGAAAGTGCGCAAATTACACCAATTTGGTATCGGCCGATTCTTCATACAAATTAGAATCGGGTCCAACTATCGGCCAGCTGAAAGTCTGTGGTCTCTCTGCGCCTAGGCTAAAGGAATCAAAGTGCTCCCTGGGCCAGAAAAGGTTGGGAACCACTCTGTTTAAATAATCGGATTGGTTAGGCTGGTTCTGATTTGTGGAATGTTCCAATTAGGTCTAATAATCTTTGCTTTTGATTTTGGAGCCTGTATCTTTGCTTTGACGTTCAATGTTACGTTACCAAAAAGTTTTCTATCCTGTCTTATAATATTATGTTGCGTAAATAGCCTTCGTTATATGAACCCTGTTAGTAAATGAAGACTGTTGTTTTACTAGCTTTAATGATATTAGGTAACATTGTTTACAAGTACTTCAACACTCGACTTTCTTGAACTACATCTTTAAGAAATTCAAGAAGAACAAAAGGTCTTTACAGAAGTTTAAATGTAACTGCCAAAACAAAATTTTGAGTTGTTCAATTCCTTTTTCTACCACCAGATTGCACCAATGGTTCCCAAACCGCAACCAATTTGCATACAAATGCGCAATCCTTTAAGTTTATTCTAGATGTTAGATTGTTAGCTTTTTTCCTCCGAGCATTTTCATTATTGCACGACCTTCTGTCCTTGTCGGGCGCGGGTAATCTGACGAAGATAGATAGCCTGGGACGATTTATTTGAATGCCAACTGTGTTTTTTGTATGGAGATTTTATTTATTTACTTACACATGTCTGCATTTGAAGTGTTTGTTTTCTAAATATCAATTTTATTCTTGTCAACCGACTATGAATGAAGTCGGTTAAGTACCTTTGTTAGGTTACCTTATTTTGTAGACGTACCTACGATAAATTGTTACTAAGTCAATCATATTGAGTAGAATCCCAATTTGCTAAGACCTGATTCCTTGATCCCTTGAATTCAATTATCGTTAAAGCATTTACAAACTACAATGCGTTTGACGTTTTATTAATTAAGCTGAAATTGAAAGTGTTTCGTTTATCGCCATTTTGTCACTAACGAGAAAGTTATGGTTGAGATATTTTTATTTCGTGATCCTTTAACCTCTATGACTTTATTTTATAAGATGCTGACCAAAATTACGAACCTCAATCGAAATCCCTATGGCTCCTCAATTAGGTATCTCTACTTTTTACTTTTACTACTAACTACATTTGTAATGTATCTCACAAACAAGATTATAGTTTCCCAATGATAACAACTTAGTCGTGCGTGTTGATAGTTTAGCTTCGATACGAAAACAAAAGCCACCGATCCTGCTATCCCCGTATCGAACTTTTAATGGGTTTCGTTCGACCGAATGGGATACTGTAGTTTTGTCCTGTTCGTAATAGAGCTTATTATTGCCTGAATGGAAAGGATTGGACCCATATCAAAATGACATTCGCAGAAAAATGGGCCTGGACCTTATTCATGAGATGCAAGGATATATTTGACACGTTTAACGTTAAAGGGTTCTTTAGTTACACGGATATTTTAGTATACATCATCACCGTGAACTATGAGGTTAACAGTAAGTGCTTGTTCCCATGGAGATATCCCGTTTTTTGCAGGATCCGGTTTAGTTTTACGTGTTTTTTTTTCAATATTAACGTTCATACGAACATCCCGTTTGCAATGTCCAGAAAAAACCGATCTGTTCGAATTTTTAATTTGAATTTCAAACACCCACAGTCCGTCAGTGTTCACATGACAGTCCAGTTTTGCGATTCTGCATTACTGGTTCCCGCAAAACTGGAACGAGTCCTAACTTTCTTTTTTAAATATTTTGTAAAAAAATCCAAAGTGAAAAAGGTTCTCCTGTAAAATTTTACTCATCGCCCAATTCCCGCGCTCTCGTCGATAAATATTACGTTATCTCGCGGTACTTTGTATCGAGGTGTTCCTTATTCCGGGGGGATAAACAGGAACATTATTAAGCTCTTTAAAACCATATAAATTCAGACCCGAACGGGCGCAAGGTAACGAATGGTTAACCACTCCTTTGCGGAATCCCTGCTTAGTTAGCCGAGTACAGTCGGGAAGAGAAGCCATGTTTTTTTACGTCGTTTGTTTGATTATTGCAATGGCTGTCGTATTGCCACACTTTGAAATAACCAATCATAAGGACTTAGCTCACTTACTTTAACCATAACTATAACTGTAACCGGTATTTTTATCGAGTTTTTACAGAATTTTGACCTGATTTGAAGATGGTGCAACCCAGGCTTGGTTTTTGTTTTAAACATTCATTACATGCATCAGTCAGAATAAATAATAGTCGTCCATAATATGCACACGAATTACCAACCCACACATACTGAATATTTATTTCAACCGGTTAACATATCAACGAAATAAATTGGTCAGCACAAATAAATCAGGCTTAAACTAAATCCTTGCTTTAAATTGCACATTTCGTCGAAATTCAATCAAAAAATCCGTCGTAATGTTCCTGTAGATTACATAATAACGTCGAAAAAATATATCCACAGTAGAGCTACTGTGGATTACATAATATAAAATAATAGAATTATACTGTCTGTAAATACCTCCCCACGTCTGTATTCCTAAGGAGTTTGCTCTAAGAATTAGGTTAAGTGTATAATGGTTTTTCATTTTACCTATAGACGCACAGAAGCTTGAACTGAAGAGGCTAAGAAAGAAAATGGTGGTAAAAAGGAAATGCTAAAAATATTTCTTGTCCTGGGACTCTTTTTAGTTTTTGCTGTTGGTAATAGACTAAGTAGTTTTGTATTAACTACCTACCTACTTAGTTTGTGTTAATTTAAAAATACTTACAGTTAAGTTAGAGATGTAAGTAAGCATTGTTTATAAATGAACGTTAAAATTTACTTCAGAATTTTGCATTTCTGTGATTTTGTTCACTTGTGAAAGGTTTTGCTGGCTTGGTCTGGTTTTGCCAGTTGATTTAAAAGTCCGATCGAGGCACAAAAATATGGATATTCCCCTTTTCAGTCCCAATGGTGTGATTTCCCTGGATATAAAATACGTCACACGCTACATACCTGCAGTATGAATGAAAGAGGATCTAGGGCCCGTATTACGACGCTAAGGATGGGCTGCACCTTCTTACTTTAACCACAGAATAAGTAATAGTACAGGTACAGAAGGATTACTCCGCAAGACGATTTAAATAAATGCGAGTCTTGCTACGACGCGATACAGTGGAATTCAGCTCGCACAGCACTACGTACCTACAATTTTATTCACCTACAAGTTTTGTCTCTTTCTATCGCGTGCCTCTGAACTCTTCTTACGCTGTTAGGGTTAGTTAATTAATCTACTTATTTNTGACATGGCCTGTCAGACCCCAGTCACCTTGATGAGCTCGCCGTAGTCGTCGTGTCGCGCGCGCTCCTCGTGGAAGGGATACATGGCGTGGTGCCGCTTGTTGGTCTTGAAGCGGCCGGTAACTATATACCCACGTCGTCGGTCCATCGTGGCCTGTCAGACCCCAGTCACCTTGATGAGCTCGCCGTAGTCGTCGTGTCGCGCGCGCTCCTCGTGGAAGGGATACATGGCGTGGTGCTGTCAGACC